GTGGGTCAGAATTGACTCAATGGCACTTAACAACAACATATGTATATATGAGGGGGCCATGAAAAAATGGAATTAAAAGATAATGGGATTTTTCCACAATTTTTTTGAAATTCCCTTGCATATACACATGTGGTAGTAGTGTGTTGTGGAGTCGGTTCTGACTCATAGTGACCCTGTATAGGGTTTCCAAGGTTGTAAATCTTTATGGGAGCAGAAAACCTCATCTTTCTCCCACAGAATGGCTGGTAGTTTCAAACTGCTGACCTTGAGGTTAGCAGCTTGACTTGTAACCACTACACTACCAGAGCTCCTTGCATATACACATATACATTAGCTATTGTCAGTTTTGTTAAGTCAGCTCCCATTCATGGTGACCCCATGTACAACAGAATGAAATGTTGCACCATTTGTTCAATTACTGCTGCATTCAAGTTCATTGTTACAGCCACTTTATGTTTTGACTGTCTTCCAACTTCGGGGACTCATCTTCCAGCATCAAATTGGACAATATTTTATTGTGATCCACAGAATTTTCATTTACTACTTTTCTAAAAGAGATTCCCAGGCCATTTTTCCCTAGTCTCTCTTAGTCTGGAAGTTCTACTGATACCTGTCCACCATAGATTACCCTGCTGGTATTTGAAACAGTGATAGCATTGAGTACCACAGTATGACCAACTGACAGACAGGTGGTGGATATGTATATAGTTATATACATTTAGGAATATAAACACATATGGCTTTATTTTATAGCTAAGTGTCCAACTGTTTTGTGGCTTTACCCAATAAACAGAAAAGAAAAATGCAAGGCAGTGAGTTAATAGAGGCTGCTCTAGGGTGAGCAGTTTATTGGATGAGTGTTTTAACTTACATACATTTTTACTGTTGTTTTCCATTATTTTGCCCATCACAGATTAGGGTTTTTGGAGGGAGAATCAATCTCTGAAGTAAATATATTCTCAGGCCTGTGGTGTATCTAAGTTTAGTTTCCATTTGTCACAACCATTTTCCAAGTAACCATAATACAAAATACTGTGGGCCTAAGAGAGGACAAATGCAGAGCCTCCCTGAGTCAGTATTTATCTTGTTTCAGTGGTGATAAAAACCAGGTCATTCTCAATCATAGAAACACAGACCTGGGCGTACTGAAACATATGTTATGTTCTCTTTATGTAATTCCTTGAGGCAGTGTTTTCCAAAGCAGAGGAGGGATGGCAAAGAACTTCTCTACCCAAGTGAGCATTATGGCCCAATTAATGTCTACAAACCTAAAGTAAAAAAGGAATGTTTCAACATTGTAGGTTTCTTACCAGCCTCTCTGTATGAAATTCTTAAAGACCAGCAAATGTCAGCATGCAGTTTAGCCCAAATTTCAGCTCTGCAAAGGAGAAAAAAAAGAAAAGCCCATAAAAATTGCTAGAATAGCTGATGGAACATGAGCGACTGTGAAAGTTATTGTAGGGAAGCCTCACACAGCTAAAGAAATAGCTCTTAATTTACAACCTGGGCTGACAGTCTGTTCCAGACTGACTTAACACTCCTGAACAACCCATCTCAGCACACCTAAGTGTCTCATGCCAAAGGATCCTAAGAGGGCTGGGCAACTTGGAAGGTGATGTTACACAGGCCCATATGGCGCACATCTGGCCAAAAATTAGGAAGAGAAAGAAATCAACTTCTCAAATCCACAGACAGGTGTTTGGGGCTTCCCAGGGGACCTGCTTATGAAGGGCAACAGGGAAGGCTCTGAACTGATGGTTAGTTAGGATACAACAAACATTCCTGGGAAATGATGAAAAATTGGTACAGGTCAGCAGGAACCAAACAGGTGGCAAAGAGTATGGCAGTCCCTATGCCTAACTCTTCTTGATAATCGCATCATTTTGAAGACACTTGAATTATTCAGATAATTGTAATCAAGACACCTTTAATAAGGAACCAAACAGCAGGCACCTGGTTAGAATCAATTAGGTTGCACCGCTAAATTATAAGGTAGACATTTACAGAATGACGAGATAGGAATTGTAGGTATATAGGCCTGCCACAGGCAGTTTAGAAACCAAATCGCTTCTGCCACATCATGTAAGCAGTAGAAAAATGGACTCACCATAAAACAAACACACTGCCATCAGTCAATTCCAACTCACAGCAAACTCCGTAGGATTTCCATGGGGCTTCCAAGACAGTCATTGTTTACAGGAGTAGACAGCCTTATCTTTCTACTGCGAAGCCACTGGGGATTTAGAACTGCCAAACATGCTGGTTAGCAGCCCAACGATTAACCCACGGAACCACCAAGGTTTTTGAGACTGTAAATCTTTACAGGAGTTTTCTCCCCTGTTGAGTGGCTAGTGGGTTTGAACTACGAATTCAGTTAGTACCCGATGCGTATCTCATTGCGCCAACAAGGGTTTCCTCTGAAAAATGAACAGGAACTCCTAAATACAGGATGTTGTTGTTGTTGTTGTTAAATACAGGATAACAATGAAAAATGGTACTGTTGTGGCGCCGTAGGCTAAGCTCTCCACCTCAATGTCAGTTTGAACTTCAAGGTCGGCGGTTCAAACTCACTGGTGGTGTGCCATGGAATCGCTTCCAACTCATGGTGGTGGTGGCTGTGTGCCGTGGAGTCGGTTCCGATTCATAGCGACCCTGTACAGGGTTTCCGAGGCTGTAAATCTTTGCTGGAGCAGAATGCCTCATCTTTCTCCCGCGGAACAACTGGTAGTTTTGAACTGCTAGCAGCCTGACTCCTGACCACTACACTACTAGAGCTCCTTTCAAACTCACTGTTTTTATTAAATGCCGTTGAGTCGGTTCCTACCCATAAAGACCCTGTATAGCTTTCCCAGGAGCAGCTAGTGAGCTTGAACCGCCAACCTTGAAGTTCAAACGGCTTTGCAGTCTGACACAATAACCCACAGCGCCACACCAGAACTTCAAAATCACTTCTTGTTGTTGTTAAGTGCCGTTCAGTCGGTTCTGACCATAGCGACCCTGTATAGGGTTCCCAAGGAGCGGCTGGTGAGCTTGAACCACCGACCTTGCAGTTCAAACAACTATGCAATCTGACGCATTAACCCACGGCGCCACACCAGGACTCCTCAGAAATCACTAGCCACTCCTAAAAATCCTATACAGAGTCCCTATGAGTCGAAATCGACTCAACGGCACTTAAGAACAATAAAAACTACAATGAGAAGGCCTGTCCTCTGGGCACGAAGAATTCTGCAGAGCCATGAAAAAGGACGAAGACCAATGAGGTTTTCTGTGCAAAGAGAAGTGAGCAGGCGCGGCATAGAGTGGGTCTTCCGCGGGGATGGGCTAGTGTGGCCGTGGCCCAGGAGGGTATATTTGGGATCTCCGCATGCTCTACACTGGGGCTGTCTTGGATGCACCACGTGCTTCCTGCTAAGGTTGGGGTCCTAGAGGGGAAGAGACAGGAGAGGTCCCAGGGGCAGCACTCAAGGAGCGGCAACAGCCCAAATCTGAGTTTCCTTTCCTAGTCTAGAAAAAATACCTAAACGGCATGGTTGGATCTTCAGGTCCTCAGCAGCAAGTAGAACGTCCTCTGCCGCGCGGGGGCGCAGAGCGCAGGCGCGGCGGCTGCGGCGCGACTCCGAAACGCCAGGGGTCGCTGTGGCTTGACCCGCGCACTACACGCGGTCGGGGCCGCGGAGCTCTGGTCCCTCTTGAGCACCTCCTTGCCGGTTTTCTGGGGTGAAAGGTTGCGAAGATGGCGACGGCCTTGAACGAGGAGGAGCTGGACAATGAAGACTATTACTCGCTGCTGAACGTGCGTAGGGAGGTGAGGCCTGCGGAAGGTCGCCGTCGGGGCTGAGACCCAGCCCGGTCGTTCGGTGGGGGCCAGACTGCCGGCGACTGCCCTCCCCTGCCACGGGCGGCATGGGCCCGGTAGGGAGGCCGCGTGACCCCGGCCGATGTGCGCGACCGCTGGCCTACCGAGGGGTCCCCACCGCCCCGACCCTTCTCGGGCCCGCCCCTATCCTCACTGTCAGCGGCCGATCGCCTCGTGGGCTGCGTCCTGACAAGGCCGGAGGCTCCTGCACCCACAGGCAGGAGCAGTGTCCTCGAGGTGACAGCCACTTAAGTGAGGTTCCCAGTCTTCCATGACCTAGTACCATGCTCGGCTCATTGCCCTGCCCTGGCTGTGAGGCTGTGCCATCAACCCCAGCCAGTAGGATGACAAACTGAGTCCCAAGCACCAAGGTCAAGGCCACCAGGGAAGGTACTCAAGGTTCTATTGAGTCCCAGTATTTTTCATGAGATGTCCTGCTTCTGAAGTAGGTCCAGGCTCAGAGCCACGTGCCTGTGCCCTTCGTTCCCCGTGGACGGCTGTCCAAAAATTGGAGGAGGAGCCTCATGGACATAATTTTCCTCCACTTGGAGACCACAGGTTGGGAAAGAAATGCCCATAGTACGGCCTTAGTATCCGCGCGCGTTTCCACACGCCAAGACTCCTAATGAAAGATAATGCCAGAGAGCTGCCCACGTGTATGGGACATAGTAGGGGCCCAAACATTTCCCTTTCATGGTGACAACTGTAGAGTCGAGGGACTTATGGTGTGGCGCTGTTGTAGGATCAGCACTGGACCGCGAACCACAAGGCCAGCAGTTCAAACCCACCAGCTGCTCTCGGAGACCCTATACAGAGTGGCTATGACTTGAAACAGACTCAACAGTACTTAGTAACAACACTGTAGAGTCAAGATCAGCATGAAGGGCTTTTAGAAGGCTTCCGAGATCGGGTCATGAGGTGAATCAGGTATATCTAAGCTTCTGGGTCAGATCTTTCCAGCCCTGCCAGACAACCCCTAATTCCAGATCTTAAGAGTACCGGTGATGATCAAAACTACCAAGTTTAACAGACTACAGTTTGTGGAGATTTCCTTGATGAGACACAGTGTAGATATAGCTAGCAAGTTTGTTTCAAATAAATCAGCTTGTGCAACAAAAACCCCAGTGGCTTACCTATCCCTAAAATGAATGTAAATACAAGGTTATTATGATCAAATTTAGTTATTACAACAACCCTATAAAATAGGTTTTATGATAATCCTTTATGTATAGTTGAGGAAAGCCAGGGCGTGGGAAGATTAAGTAATTTGCCAAAGTTACACTACCAGGAAGTGCAAAACCAGGCAGTCTGACCTCTGGAACCCAACTCCTGACCTTTGTGTTGTACTGCTGTCTCTGCTTACCAAAAATTCTCAGACTACAAAGTTACAAGTTTGAGTACCATGTCCTTGAGCACCACACATAAGAATCCCTCAAATCTATTAGTTACTGTTTACTATGAAAATATCCAGTGAAACATTTTGGGAATTCCAGATCTCGTTAGTCTGCCACAGGGCACTTGAGAGTTCTTGTTCTCAATTTGTAGTTAGATGGCACCTGACAACAACAACTAGTACGGCTGGTATGGTGCTATAGGATAAGCACTCGACCTCTAAGGTCAGTTTGAACTGTAAGGTCAGCAGTTCAAACTCACCAGCCACTCTTGAGAAACCCTGTACAGGGTCACTATGAGACAACCGACTGGGTGGCACCCAACAATAGCAATAGCTTTGTTTGTACAGTTGGCTGCTAACTAAATAGTTGGTGGTTCGAACCCAGCAGCCTCTCCACGGTATTAAGATATGGCAGTCGGCGTCCATAAAGATGGCTTTGGGAACCCCATGGGTCAGTTCTATCCTACCCCTGAGGGTTACTATGAGTCAGAATCAACTGGATGGAAATGGGTTTGGTTTAGGGCTATTAGTTTCTTTCCTTTCTAGTGAAATTGCCTGACTTGTTAAGTGCCATTGAGTTGGTTCTGATTCATAGCGACCCTATATAGGGTTTCTGAGGAACAGCTGGTGGGTTTGAACTGCTGACCTTGTGGTTCAGAGTCCAGGGCTGGTCCTACAGCACTGTACCAGGAGTCCAACAGATGACCAATAAGATACACAATAAGAGGCTTAGGTAGAATGCTAGGTAAACATTTATCAGAGGAATACCCTGAAACTCCTGGAATTTTAAGGCCTGTACTTGTTACTGCACTAATGGATGAGAACCAAAGAAATATTTGTTTAAAAGCATTTTATTTTTCCCAAAAAGTGAAGACACCGCCCGTATGTATGACTATATGTAAATTTTGTATATGTAAAGTCTCTATGAAGTGCACACCCTCTTCCTTAAATCATTTTGTCAAATGTGTGATGTCCTGATTTTCTCTCAGGATTACACTATAAGAGAATCTCTGACGTTGATTTCCAGAATTACTGAAATAAACCAGATCTGAAGTTGAAATAGCAGGAATAAATCAGAATGGAACTTTCTTTCCTTTCTATACTTTTTATTGTTGTTAAGTGCCGTCGAGTCGGTTCCGACCCATAGCGACCCTGTACAGGGTTTCCCAGGGTGTAAATCTTTACGGGAGTAGAAAGCCTCATCTTTCTCCCGCAGAGCGGCTGGTAGTTTCAAACCGCTAATCTTAAGGTTCGCAGCCCAATTCGTAACCACTACGCTACCAGATAGAAAGTTTAATTGACACATTTTAAACCGAATTTCTTCCTAATTAACTTTGGTGGTGGTGGTGTGCCGTGGAGTCGGTTCCGACTTATAGCGACCCTCTAAAGATTTCCGAGGCTGTAAATCTTTATGGGCGCAGAAAGCCTCATCTTTCTCCCGCAAAACAGCTGGTATGTTTTGAACTGCTGATCTTGAGATTAGCAGCCCAATTTGTAATCACTACACTACCAGAGCTCCTTTAAATAACTTTGTTGTTGTTAGGTGCCATCAAGTTGGTACCGACTCATAGCAACCTTATTCACAGCAGAATGAAACACTGCCTGATCCTGGGCCAACCTCACTACTATTGCCATGCTTGAGTCCACTGATGTAGCCACTTGGCCAATCCATGTCTTTGGGCATCTTCCTCTTTTTCTCTGACCTTACCAAACATGATGTCCTTCTACATTGACTGGTCCCTCCTGACATTATGTCTGAAGTATGACAGACGAATTTGGCCATCTTGGCCTCTAAGGAGCACTCTGGCTGCACTTCTTCCAAAACAGATCTGTTGGTTCTTTTGGCAGCCCATGGCACTTTCAATA